TTGGAGGTCCGTGGTAAAATTAGGCTTGAATTGGCGATATTGGAATTTTGGCATTTTCGGTTTATAGTAGAAATTTTGATATCGGGGCCGGAATGGAATTCCGGAAGTTGTAGAAGGTCCGTTGTGTCATATGTGATATGTGTGCAAAATTTCAGGTCATTCGGATGAGGTTTGATAGACTTTTTGATCAAAAGCGAAATTCGGAAGTTTTTGGAAACCTTAGGCTTGAATCCGATGTTATTTTGTTGATTTAACGTTATTTTAGGTGTTTCGAAGATTAGTATAAGTTTGGATAGTGGTATATGACTTTTTCGTACTTTTGGTTGAGGTCCCGGGGGCCTCGGGATGATTTCGGGTGGTTGACGGGAAGTTTGGAGTTGGAAATTTGCAGTTATAGCTGCTGAAGTTCCTGTCATAACCGCACCTACGGCTTGGGGACCGCAGGTGTGGGCCTGCAGAAGCGCAAGGATGGTCGCAGATGCGGAAATGGATGAGAGGAGGTGGAACCGCAGATGCGGATGTTGGAGCACACCTGCGATAACATAGGTGCGGGATTTTGATCGCAGGTTCGGTCTTTGAACGGTTAAGTGCATTCTGCAGATGCGCACCTGGGACCACAGGTGCGGGTCCACAGGTGCGAGATTTCGACAGCAGAAGCGACTTAGCTAGGGCAGAACATATAAATTTAGCCCTTCGCGATTTTTGAGTGGCTTTTCACCATTTATCATACGGGTTTGAGCTTGGGAGAGCAAATTGAAGAGGGAATTCAAGTGGGTTTCGTGGAGGTAAGGTTTTTGGACCCTAAACTTGTTTCTATGATGGTTTTTAACTGTTTTAGATCGAAATCTAAGGAAAATCAGTAGCAAAATTGGGGGTTTAGGGCTCGAGAATTGGAGACCTAAATTTAGGGATTTGAGGGGTCATTTGTGGTCGGATTTTGGTATTCTCTGTTTGTATGAACTCGTGAGAATGTAAGGATTCTATTGATGTGAATTTTATGGAATTTTGAGATCTGGGCCCGGGGGTCGGGTTTGGCCAATTTCGGGATTTGTGATGTAAATTAATTATTTTCGTATGGGTTTCACTCCTTTAGCGTATATTGATGGTTATATACTGATTTTGGTTAGAGTCGGGGCATTTGGAGGCCGAATCGAGAGGACAGGGCGTCGCGGGCTAGAGTTTGGCTTGGTCTGAGGTATGTAACGCATCCAATCTTGGTTCTGAGGATTCGAAATCCCGAACTATGTGTTCTATGATTTATTATGAAGGTGGCGCAATGCCAAGTGACGGGCGTGTGGGCGTGCACCGTGAGGAATGCAGCCCGGATCATTCCGGAGCACCGCTCGGTGACTCTTTCTTGTTGATATCTGTGTTGTAATTATGTGATTAAGTTAATGAGCTGTGAATCATGCTAATTATCATGTTAAGGCTTCACGCCAATAATGTTGAGACCCGAGAGGTTGTTCCTTGATGTCAATCATTTGCTTTATTGATATTCTGTACTCAGTCCTATTCATCCATATTATATCATGCCTCAGTCTCGATTATTGTTATTTGTCATATCACACTATTGTACGTGCTAGTAACATGACATTTTGAGCCTCTGTGTGTGTGAGACTGGATAGTTATGAATGAGTGAGGCCGAGAGCCTGATATTGAGTGGCAATATGGGATCGGGCTGCACGCTGCAGCGAGATATTGAACATGCCTTCGTTGGCTTTGTTATAGTGCTTGGGCTAAAGGGAGAAGCCCCTCTAGAGTCTTTACACCCCCAGTGAGCGCAGTTGATGATATTAAGGGATGGATCTTCCCTGGACATGGATCTTGTCCGAATTGTATTATACCGGGAGATGGATCTTCTCCATGAGGTTGGATTGGCCTGTGTCCTCGGTACTGGGTGACTGCGGTCAGTGATATATATTCCGGGATGGATCTTTTCTGGGCCGGATGGCCATATACAGTACCGAGTGGTTGAGTACTGTGAGTGAAGGCTCATGGAACATTGATCATGCTAGTCGTGCATTGTTACATAGAGAATTTCTGAGTTTTGTATTCCGTACTGTTCAGTTTGCATTTATTTAACTGTTCAGTTTTACTTGAACTGTAAGCATGCCTATTTTTCTGTACCGTTACATGTTATCACCTGTCGAGGTTGCTTCGTCACTACCTGTCAGTCCATAGGTTGAACTTGTTACTTACTGAGTTGGTGTACTCACATTACCCCCTGCACCTTGTGTGCAGATCCAGGTATTTCGAGTCACGGTAGCGGTTGCTGATCATATCGTTGTGGACCGTTTCTTTGGAGATTGCGAGGTAGCTGCTTGGCGACCGCAATTCCGCCTTCTCCTTCCCTTTCTTCCTCTTAGTATAATTGTTAGATATTCTCAGACAATGTAGTCTTGTTTATTTCGAACAGTTGTAGTACTTCTGCTCATGACTAGTGACACCCGAGGTCAGGCTTGTATTTCATTACGCATGTTTTGGATTTCTACTTTTATCTTATTGGATTTATGTTAAAAATATAATTTTTCTTAAGTTTTAATTGGAAAATGGAGTACTTTAGAAATAATTGGCTGACCTAGTTTCGCGATAGACGTCATCATGACCGGGTCGATTTTTGGGTCGTGACACATAAATCATCAAAATATCCTATGAAAGTTTCAAATATGAAAATAGGGAAATAGGGTTCTAAATCTCAAAACGACTGATCGAGTTGTTACGATATGCTATCATTTACTATAAAAATGGTGGGACCTTGAAGAATAATGTAATATTATATCGCATGCCAAGCTTGCTTATTAATTATTTAACATGTAGTGAGTCTATTAATTGAATCACATGCAAAATGTGATTGCCAACAAGGATATATATGTCAAAAAGAAATATTTTAATTAGCACATGTCTATTATTCTCTGTGTTTCAATTTAGATGACATATTTCGCTTATCAAGAATCAAATTACATGAAGTTAGATCGACCTTTTAAAATATATTTTATTATTATATTATGAGAAAAAATTGTAACTTATAGTACTTTTTGTGTAGTTTTTTGTATATCCAAATTTTAGTTTTAAAATACTAAGTTGAACTAATTTAATTTAACTTTAAAGTTTAGTCAAACTGACTCTCGATAAGTGAAATGTGTCATCTAAATTNTTTGGCTCAATTTTAATTAAAATACACTAGTGCAATCCCTACCCCATTTATCAAACAATTAATCAACTCTTGAAACTTATACATACAAAAAATAAGAAAAACACACACACACACACACACACACACACACATATATATATATATATATATATATATATATATATATATATATATATATATATAAACAAAGCAAAAATTAGGCATTTACAAGTTGTATTGAAGAAATTCAACTATTTCGGATTCGAATTTCTGAAGTTACATTTAAAAGATAAAAGAACTTTAGATTTGATTTGTGAAGTTGCATCGAAGACATTGAACTACTTTGGATCCGAGCAGATACACTTTATAAAATATCTGATTTAGAGTAATGTTCTCTTTTCCATCTCCCAAAAACTAGGGGCATATATATATATATATATACGTGCTAGAGATCTGGTTTACATACATGGTATGTCTATATAATACGATACTTGAAAAGCAATGAGATACTTCTACAAAAACTTTGATAAAGCGTGAAGTAACTTCATAGAATGACATTGTTAAAGCTTGGTTTCTTTCTAGCTATTCTTCTGATGGCAGCAGCTACAAGTTAGTATCTATCTTATAATCTTATTATCTCGATCTATTAAGTTTTACATCGTTATGTTGGGATAAATATGTACATGTAGGTACATGTGTGTAACTCTGACATATTCATCTTTATGCATGGCTATGTATGTGCTTCTACGCATATCGTCTGAATATCAATTTTATGTTATAATAATTCATAATTTTATGTTTTTTTGGTTAAATATCTCAGTCAAAGCTGCACCAAATGTTGATCTTGATGTCTCAAAGATGGCGAGAAGACTACTTCCACAACTTAATACTTGTTTGAGATCTTGTGAAAACGACAGTGGTTGTAGTGATTGTTGGCTTTGCTGTACCTGCAAAGACTTTTATGGAGCTATTACACTCATGTGTCAGGCATAAATTTAACAAGAGTAGTGCGTTGAAATCATATAACAATAAACTCAGTAGCAAATCTGTTTAATGCATTTATGTTTTAGTGTGATTTCAATGCTTTTTTTCCTTTTATTTGTCGTCTTTAATAATTGTACGAATAATGAAGAAAGTGAGGCGTTACTTTCTATTCATAAATAAATGAATTTTCAAATTGAATACCATTTGAGCTAATTTATTTTAGTACTTTAATCATCGGCATACATATAGTAGATTTATTTATGAATTTAGCGCATATGTAATTTATATCCGAATCCTTTTTCTTATCTTCATGGTTCCCTTTACATTGACTTTTCTTTAACACAATATGGTTCCAACTTTTTGGCAATTTATGTCGATAAATTATTCAATTTTTTACAAAATGAACTTATATAAGTAGTAAATTTACAAAAATGAACAAAAAGATCCTAATCGGTGAGTGTAACAACCAACGAATCGTTGGCAGTTCAACTAACGAAGTTAGCTATGAATGTTCGATTAGGAATATCCCATATTAGAATGAAAAAGAAATGTTAGGGTCCATATAAATCATCACTAGAAAAGTCAGTTGTCGAGGCACCATTTGGACAAAACTGTGATATCCTAATGGTTGCGCTGAAGTAGACCATAACGGCTGAAATTCAAAAATAGCCAGATTTACAAGTGGTAATTGAAAAATAGCTACGGTTTCAAAAGAAATTGAAATTTAGTCAAATTCTATGTAAAGATAAATCTGAACGAAAACATTGTTCAAAAGCCGGAAAATATTTCAGCATAATATACTGGAGTTCGAATTTTTTACATGTGAACTTCCAGCATAATATATTGGAGTTCCAGCATAATATACTGGAAGTTCATACAGAGTTGCTCCAATCTCCAGTATATTATGCTGGAACTTTCCATGTGCTAGATTTCTAGCATAATATCCTGGAAGTTCATACACAGGTGCACTAATCTCCAGTATATTATGTTGGAAATTTCCGTGTTGCAGCAAAATAGTGGCTATTTTTCAAAATTTTACAAATGCTAGCTATTTTTCAATTATCAATCCAAAAACTGGCTAGTCCGTGCTATTTTCACGATCATACCTACCAGTTGGGCCTGGGCTATTTTTTCGTAAATGTTTCCAATTTTAGTGTTGTGGGTTGGACTACGTTGAGTTGAGGCTGGCCTAGTTTTACGATAGGCGCCATCACAACGGGTTGAGTTTTGGGTCGTGACAAGTCGGTACCAGAGCCTAGGTTACATAGGTCTCACGAGTCATGAGCGGGTTTAGTAGAGTCTTGCGGATCGGTACGGAGACGTCTGTACTTATATTCGAGAGGCTGCAGAACCTTTATGGAAACATCACATTCTTAAATTCTTGCCGTGCGAATCTGTTGATATTGGCAACTAAACTTTTGATAATCTATTCCCTCACAGATGGTGAGGACACGTACCGCCAGTCAGGATGGACAGCCGCCAGTAGCACCAGTTGGGTCCGCGAGAGGCCGAGGTCGCGATAGAGGCCGTGACAGAGGTAGAGGTGCAGCTCGCACCACAACTAGGGTAGCACCAGCAGATCCACCAGCTGCCCCGGTTTAGGATCAGGTTCCGGGTGTAGATTCCCCAGCGGGACCAGCTCAGGCACCAGCTGTGCCAATGGTTATTCCAGGTCTTCGGGAGACCTTAGCTCAGATTCTGACCGTGTGCACCAGTCTTGCTCAGGAGGTCGCTGTTTCTACTACAGCAGCTACTTCCCAGGCCGGGGGAGGCACTCAGACTCCCGCCGCCCGCATACCCGAGCAGGTTATTCAGGGACTTCAGACATCGGGGGCACCACCAACCCAGCCGGTTGCGCCTGCTCAGGACTTTGTGGTGCCAATCATGCCCGATGATGAGTAGCATAGATTGGAGAGGTTTGGTAGACTTCAGCCTCCGACTTTCAGTGGTAGAGAGGGCGAGGATGCCCAAGGTTTCTTGGACAAGTGTTAGAGGATTCTTCGTACATCGAGTATTCTGGAGACCAGTGGGGTCTCGTTCACTACCTTTCAGTTCTCTGGAGCTGCCTTTACTTGGTGGGAGGCGTATGAGAGGTGTAGGCCTGTTGGTGCAGCACCCCTTACTTGGCAGCAATTCTCCGTTCTCTTTCTGGAAAAGTATGTGTCGCAGTCCTACAGAGAGGAGCTGCGCAGACAGTTCTAGCAGTTGCATCAAGATGATATGATTGTGACGCAGTATGAGATGAGGTTCTCTGAGTTAGCTCGTCATGCTGTCTGGTTGGTTCCTACAGACAGGGAGAGGATCAGGAGGNAGTAGATTTATTTATGAATTTAGCGCATATGTAATTTATATCCGAATCCTTTTTCTTATCTTCATGGTTCCCTTTACATTGACTTTTCTTTAACACAATATGGTTCCAACTTTTTGGCAATTTGTGTCGATAAATTATTCAATTTTTTACAAAATGAACTTATATAAGTAGTAAATTTACAAAAATGAACAAAAAGATCCTAATCGGTAAGTGTAACAACCAACGAATCGTTGGCAGTTCAACTAACGAAGTTAGCTATGAATGTTCGATTAGGAATATCCCATATTAGAATGAAAAAGAAAAGTTAGGGTCCATATAAATCATCACTAGAAAAGTCAGTTGTCGAGGCACCATTTGGACAAAACTGTGATATCCTAATGGTTGCGCTGAAGTAGACCATAACGGCTGAAATTCAAAAATTGTCAGATTTACAAGTGATAATTGAAAAATAGCTACGGTTTCAAAAGAAATTGAAATTTAGTCAAATTTCATGTAAAGATAAATCTGAACGAAAACATTGTTCAAAAGCCGAAAAATATTTCAGCATAATATACTGGAGTTCGAATTTTTTACATGTGAACTTCCAGCATAATATATTGGAGTTCCAGCATAATATACTGGAAGTTCATACACAATTGCTCCAATCTCCAGTATATTATGCTGGAACTTTCCATGTGCTAGATTTCTAGCATAATATGCTGGAAGTTCATACACAGGTGCACTAATCTCCAGTATATTATGTTGGAAATTTCCGTGTTGCAGCAAAATAGTGGCTAATTTTTAAAATTTTACAAATGCTAGCTATTTTTCAATTATCAGTCCAAAAACTGGCCAGTCCGTGCTATTTTCACGATCATACCTACGAGTTGGGCCTGGGCCATTACACCTTTACACCCTAAGATCGTTTACCCTATGATATAGTTACCCACATACAAAGAATACAAGAGTAAATTTTATGTTCATATACAAACTTAATATTGTATAACATTAAAAATAATCTAATAACTATTGTGAAAATATGAAATGATTGTGGGCAAGGCATTTCAAGGAAACTTACTCTAGGATAATGATTTTTTTCGCATGGTGCAAATGGGTAGATAAAATTTTTATCCCCGAGATATAATACTTACTCAAGAAATACCTGGCCGGTCATTTCGAAAGTTATAGCCCGTTCCCCTGTTTTCTGCTTCATTTTTGTGTTCTTCAGTTGTATTTGATCGTATCGCGTTAGTTTATTCAGGTTCGGAGTGGTTTTGGAGAGAATTGAGACACTTAGTCTCTTCTGAGAAAGCTTAAATTGGAAAATTTAACCGGATGTTGACCTATGAGTAAACGACTTTTGAATGGAAATCCAGAAGTTGGAGTAAGTTCGTAGTGTCATTTGTGACTTGTGTGCAAATTTTCAGGTCATATGGACGTGATTTGATAGGTTTCGCCATCTTGCGAAATTTGGAAATATAAAAGTTCTTAGGGTTGAATCTGAGTGTAACTTGGTGTATTGATGTTGTTTTGAGTGATTCGAAGGTTCGACTAAGTTTGAATGAGGTTATGGGATGTGTTGGTACGTTGGCTGAGATCCCGAGGGCCTCGGGTGAGTTTGGGTGGTTATCGGATCACTATTTGGCTTTGGAAGTTGGGAATTATCTGATATCTGGTGTTGAAAAGTTGAAGGTCTCGGATCATTGGAAGTGCGGCCGTGGTATGGATTACGCGGATCGCTGTAGGAGAATGCAGCCGCGATGGGAACTTCGCGGATCGCGAAAGGACTTGATTAAGGATTTGCAGTCGCGGTGAGAATCTCGCGGACCGCGGTAGAGGTTGGCTCAGGACTCACGGTCACGTTGGAATTACGCGGACCGCAGTAGTGATTGTGCGGCCGCGGTGAGAATACGCGGACCGCGCAATGAAAGTTTAGCGAGCACTATATAAGCGAGGTTTAGGGTTTTATTTTACATTTTGGACTTTGGGAGCTCGGTTTGAGGTGAATTTTTGGGAGTTTTTCAAGGAAATCATTGGGGTAAGTAATTCTAACTCAGTTTTGGCTAATAATCATGAATCTATCATTTGATTTGTAATTTGGGATGGAATTTGGGGGGAAATTTGTGGAGTTTCATAAAATAAACTTTTAGGGTTTGAAAGCCGTTTCGAAGTCGGAATTGAGTGACACTAGTATGGGTAGTCTCGTAATCGAGTGAGTTGTTGGATTTTGTGACTTGGGTCGGGTTTCGAGACGTGGGTCCGGGGCCCAGTTTTTGAGTTGACCTTTTGACTTTTGGCCTAAAGCATAGTATTTTCTTATGGGATTAATCCCTTTAGCTCGTGTTGATTGTACTCGAATTGTTTATGGCTAGATTCGGAGCATCCGGAGGTCGATTTGAGGGCAAAGGCATCACGGAGTAGGATTTTGGCTTAGTTGAGGTAAGTAACGCTTTCAAACTTGGTTTTGAGGGTTCGAAACCCCGAACTTCGTGATATGAGATTAGTATTGAGGTGACGCACATGCCATGTGATGGGCGTGCGGGCGTGCACGTTGATAATTGTGACCTAGTTCATCCCATTGCACCGAATAGTGATTTTATCTTGTTGATATCTGTGTTTCTTCATGTGATGAAGTGAATGGACTTGAAATCATGCTATTTATCATGCTAGGGCTTTATGCCGATACTGTTGAGACCCGAGTGGTCGTTTATTGCTGTCACTTCATTTGAATCATTGATATTCTGTACTCAGTCTTATTCATGCATATCATATTATGGCTCAGTCTCAGTTTTATTATGTGGCACATTATATCATTGTTTCGGGCTAGTTTCATGGCATTGTGAGCCCGTGTGTATGAGACTGGAGAGTGATGAATGAGTGAGGCCGAGAGCCTGATTATGAGTGATAGATATGGGATCGGGCTGCACGTCGCAGCAGTTAT